TCACACGAGGTTACTCCCTCTCCCAAGGTCGACTCAGTCTTCAAGAGCGTCAACCACTCCTCCCTCAAGGTCGATCTCAAGGTCACCTCCCCCAAGGTCACTCCGCCCAAGGTCACCTCCAAGGTCACTCCCGCCCAAGGTCACTCCCAAGGTCACTCCCGCCCAAGGTCACCTCCAAGGCCACTCCGCCCAAGGTCGCACTCCTCTGGCCTTGGGCGGAGACCCAGAACCGGTGAAAACTATCTACTGTTGCTAATTGGATTGCGTTACATCAACCGACCCTATGTAATAAGAGGAGAATTCCTTCAGTCATTCTTACAAGGAATTCGTCATGAAGCAAAAAAAAATCTAACGAAAATATACGACGAAAATAGTTTGAGTGATAGTGAATTTGAATATTTATACCCTGTTAATAAACAGCAGTTTTCAGAACTATTCACCTATTGCGATAGAGTACTCCAAGAAGATTATCACAGATATGTGAGTAAAAAGGACCTCTTGATGTTTTTGTGCAAAATGCGTCATGGACTTTCTGATGATTTTTTACGTATAATGTTTGGCTATTCGAGTAGACAGGCAGTAAGTCTCTCCGTTACCCTCGTTAGAAAATCTTTGATGCAACGTTTTGTGACTACCAACATAGGATTTAATGCAATTACTAGAGAAAATTATATTGAGAGACATGTTACGGACTTTGCTAATGTACTATACAATCCAGAGCCACAAATTCCTCGAGCAATCACTTTCATCGATGGTACTTACAGCTTCATTCAAAAGAGTAGCAATTTCAGAGTTTTGCGGCAGTCGTATTGTGTACACAAAGGCCGACACTTATTGAAACCTATTCTAATAGTAGCACCTGACGGTTTTATAATCGACATTCAAGGACCATACTTCTCTGATAGTAAAAATAATGACGCTGCAATTTTGCAAAATGAACTTGAAATAGATGGTGATATAATGAGAAGATGGTTCCAGGAAAATGATATTGTAGTAGTGGATAGGGGGTACCGTGATGCTGCTGGAATACTTGGACACCTAGGCATTGTGCATAAAATGCCAGCACTTATGCTGCCTAACCAACACCAACTCTCAACTGAAGATGCTAATGACTCTCGTTTGATTACAAAGTCGAGGTGGATTGTGGAAGCAAGAAACGGCCACATGAAATCAATGTTCAAGTTTCTACAACGAGATATTCAGATCCAACATCTTTTCCATCTTGGGGATTTTTATCGGATAGCTGGAGCGATTATCAATAGGTATCACCCTCCTATCCTTATGGAAGGAGCCGATGCACAATTGGCTCAAAGATTACTCGAAAAGGCTAGAGAACCAAATGTCGTTCAAGCACTAGTCGAGCTAGAGAATCTGAATACTAGAAATGCTCAAAGATGGGTGCGTTTAGATGCCGAACATTTGCAAGATTTTCCAATTCTGACGCTTGATTTCATGAAAATGCTTACTTTTGGAATTTATCAAGTAAAGTTGGCACCTTCTTATGTCCAAGACAAATTACAGAGGGATCACGGCGAAGAATTTCAGTTTGAAACTTTGAGAGATATCAACAGACTACCATGGCCAGGGCTTTTACGAGTTAGAGTATTTTCTCGTTTCAGAAATGCAGCTAAATATCAACTGTGGATCTCATACCGACCAACAAATAATGATGGAACGATTGATGAAGAAGAATCTATAGATGGTTATTACTGCACCTGTAAATCTGGTGCTCGAACTGTCGGTACCTGCGCACATATTGCTAGTGTAATATGGTTCTTGGGGTACGCACGCCATCAAGCAAACATTCGCTTCCCCTCAACTCAATTGATAGAATCCGTTCAAGATGCAGCGAACAGACCACAGCCGCAAAATATAATTCATTAGTTTTTTTAATTTATATCCACGTACGTTTCAAGTCTACATGATTTTGTACAAACAATTACTCACATCGCCCGTAAAAAGAGAACCACGCTATGTGAATATCCTTAAAACTGTTCATTACAAAACTTAACAACATCCCTATTACGTTTCAATTTTTTTTGAAACCTTCGACACCAGTCTGTCGATGGCATTATCTTTGAATGCACCTGACCGTATTGCTTTGAGATGAAATCAGTGACAGTTAGTGTCTACTAATGGCCGCGTTGAAGTTTTACAGTTTCATTGTTTTCTCAGTCATTTATAATTTTCATACAGCATATATACATTTTCCAGATATGTTCATCCTAGATGCTGTACAACATCAAAGTGAATAAAATATTTGAGAAAATATCCTCCCTAATGGGTACACGTTCGTTGTTCCAACGTTAAATGGTATAATTTCAAGTTACTTGTTGAATTCCCGTTGATTTTTCAACGTTGTCATTCCAGTTCATGTGTCCAACGTGTTTCAGAAACGTATAAATAACAATCCACTCAACGTATCACTCAGTGATATTACGTTATTTTTCAACTTAATGGGTAAAAACACGTTTATTTCCGCGACATTTTAACCAACTATAAACGTTTGGCAACTTTCAATTTTCAACGTTATTTCAACTCATGTTTGCCCACTGGGATTGTTCTTCCTGAGTTGATGCAAAGCGACACTGGATGATGGAAGTGAACCTCTGAAAACGGCCCTATCTAAAGCTACTGTGACACTTCGAGATGAGACCACGTGCCTATTGTCTGTTTTAAGGTTTACTGTTTTTCCTTAATGATTCCGCGTGCTCACATAAAATATCCATGTTTGTAGCTTACATATGATATTTTAGCTTTATGTAATAACGTCATAGCCATAATACTCATTTTATGAAGTTACGCAAGGTGAACAAGAAGAAAATGCTCTAGATGATTATTAATGCCGTGTAAATCTATACTGCTCGAAATATCAAATCTTGCTACTGTCTAGTCACATGGTTTTTTAGATACGCTTCGCAGGCCATCAATCAAACATTGGATATACGGACTATTCCCTAACCGAATTATAGGATCCATACAAGATGCAACAAACAATTTTTTTGAGTGACCCTGTACAATAGTCACCTGAGATCACCCAATATTGAGAACAAATGATATTCACTCATTCTACAAGCTTTTGCGTTTGACTGAGTTTGGTCAAAGAATTATATAAAAATCAATATTGGCGGCTAGAGTACCTACCTAGAAAACGAATATCCCTGTATACGGAATCTGATAACTTTTCATTACAACTCGTGTCGACAATATCAAGATTATAATTTGTTATCCTTGACTCTTTGTAACAAAGTAATCGCCACATAACTGATTTTCTAAAGGTAAGTAACAACCTGCCTCCGCATGTTTAACCCCTTGTATTTAAAAAACTGTCCATTAGATCTTAGTGTGACCATGGAGACATTTGATCAGGACATCATGAACTACATTTCACCAAATTTTGAGCCAATTCGACTGGGACCCATTTTCCATAAGAACCGTGCGGGGTCCTTTGAGAATTTATTTCGGAACAGAACCAAATCTTATCAAGTGGAATCTATCAAACATCTATCAAACCAAACATCTCCTGGTGGAGATTTTTGCACTACAAGAAACACATTGAAGCGGAGAGCAAAATTATACATACCTGAGGCTGCGACTACTAAAGGAGGAGTTATTGATATTTTCTTTTGAGTGGGGCACGGGGAACGCCTTTTCAAAAAACCCGTTAGTGCATGGTGCTGTCAAAAACACAACTTTTTGGCAATACCCTTCATATCCTATTCTGGTATATGAAATTTTTGATGGAAACAATAGTATGCGCTTTCAGGGCACGGGGCCCTTCATTCATTGAGAACCCGTTTTTTCATTAACATTTGAATTCTTGGCTATGGACATTGACAATAATTCAAGAAACAGAAGCAATGGACATTGACAATAATTCAAGAAACAGAAGCATCGAAAAAAATTCTTCAACTTCAAACCTTTCAATAAGGCTGACGATGGTCTTTTATAAGACTGAAACAAGTTATCACCTCAGGCAGCGAGAAAGAAGACTCCTGTTCTAGGTAATCGCCGCCTGAAGCCGACCTTATAAATTCATGTTAAATACGCTCATCATTCATTCTGTATTTTGCACTATTCACACACACTTGTCGCATTCGAAAATAAAATCTTGTTTTTGAAGAACTATTTCGAGTTTTCGAAATCATATCTAACATGACCCTTATGATTATGTAACAACATCATTAAATTTGTGAAGATGACTTCGAGAATTCCTTCTTTCCTGTGCAATAGGAAACAATTCGGATCAATCTTCCAGAAAATGAATCATCAACTGATTTGATCGATGAAAGTCTTCAACTTTTAGGTTTGTACAATGAATTTCTATTATATTGTACTCGAGGCGAGACGGCAACACTGGTTCGGCGAAAGGGACGAATCGAAGACTTGGGCGAGCCGTGTGTGACAGCTAAGTTGTATACAGTGCTGCCAGGTCTACTATTTTAACTTTTACCTCAGGGGCTCGCATCTGGCGAGTACGGGAATGGCAACCCCGAGGTACCCTAGCTGGATACTCACCTTATTTCAACCTGTCTTGGGTGGGGTCCGCTTGTCTTTAATCTTTCCTATCTAGTGTCCCTTGGCTGAATACTTTCTTCCGACCCCGACGCTATTAGGTTTGCGAGGGCTAGGGGTCTCTAATCTTCTTACCTATTTTCTTTCTTCTATCCCTAATATCAAGGTGTAGCACCATCGAGCCGAGGAGATGCGTGGCACAGGGGGGAATGTGTGTCTCGAGCGATGCCTGATGGACTGGGCGAACCATTGGGGAACTAGCCTTACTGCCACATGCGGGGCTCTGTGACAGCGGACCGCGATCCCTAGCTACTCGTGGGAACATTATGGAAACAACAAATAGTATGGTAAATTCGGGAGAAGTGGGAATAAACCAGGAGAAACAGGGCAAAATAGTGAATCTATTCGAAAAAAGATCAAAAATAGGACACTCACCAAGCCGCCCTAGAACGAGTTCATCTAGTTCTGTAGGAAGCACAAGTAAAATGGAAAGGGAAAGAGATGAAGGGGACGACCAACTTGCCGAAATAAAAAAAATCGTGTCAAGAATGAAGCAAATATCGGATAACCTCAATAAGGTTGTAGAGGAACACGTAAACACTAAGATTGAGATCAAGACAGGATTGAAATACATGAAATGGTGTATTGACTGTATGAATAGAAATATAAAAGAAATAGAGCAAGAGCCTGTGCACTCAAAGAAAAAATCAGTAAATATATCCACTGAATCTATTGGGGTACAAGTGGATGAAAACGTGATTAAAACATGCATAGAAGTCAACAGAATCAAGGAAATCCAGGAACTCCGGCAGATAGTTAATGGCACTAGCTCATACTCTGAGTTTGAAGCCATTATAGACAAACAGTGGCCAGAAGGTGTATACAGTAGAGCTGAAGTCGAAGGAGGAAGTCCTCTTCATCTAGAAATGGAATGGGACTGGCTAATCATAGCCGATCCTAAAGATAAGGGTGAAACAGGACTGCTGAGGCATTTGACGAACAAACGCCCAGACATCATAGAATTACTGCATGATTCTGAGCCAGGAAGCATTGAATATATAGTGAATACCAAAACGACATCTAAAATCGGTGCTGCAATAAAGGAGAAATACATCTATCTGATGCCACATAATGATGAAATGAATAATAAGGAAGTTTATTCGATAATAGAGAAATACATGAGGACACTCAAAGACCAGGGCAGAACAAAAATTGCGGTGATGACAACGGAAGAGAAGGACCTCAGCTTATTCAGAAAAATTATAGAATATCTATGGAAGGAAAAAATCGTGACATGGAAGATGCTATTGCCAAAGGGAAAGCTAAAACCACAAAAGGACACAAGTCAGGCAAATCAAGGGGACACTGTCATTATTGAAACAGGTGAAGCACGTACATACATGCTTAGGAAAATGAAAGGAGAGCTAGTTGTTGATAGATTAGAAATAAATGTGAAACAATTGAAGAAGTCAGCTAAAGGGGATATAGTGATGAAAGTAGTTGGAGAAAAAGGAAGAGTCGGACTGTTCAAGGAAGAGATTGTCAAGATGCTACCAAACACACAAGTTGATATCAAGAGGGCGGAAAAAACATATAATATCCTCAACATTGACGAGGCAACAACTGAGGACGAAATCAAAGAGGCCATAGCGAATGCAATTGGAACTGGGAAGGAAGAGGTAGTATTGAAACATTTACGACAGAACAATACCGGGAATCAAACGGCTACGATAATATTACCAGCGAATAGGGCACAAACCATGGAGAGTGTAGGTAAAATCAAAATAGGGTGGGTAAGGTGCAGAATCAAGGAGAAAGTTCACCTTTTGAGATGTTTCAGATGCCTCGAATATGGACATAAAACGAGAGAGTGTAAAGGAGAGGACCGAAGCGACAAATGCATGAACTGCGGAAATGAAGGCCACAAGGCCAATTTATGTACAGCAGGAGCACACTGCAGAAGTTGCCAACAAAGTGGACACAGGATGGACTCAACCAAATGTCCCCTCCTCAGAAAGCTCATTAGAGAGGAAGAAAACAAGAATAAATTGAGGCGACAGGGCCCGTCCAGCGAAACAAGTGCGCCAAGACGATGGCTCTGAAACTACTGCAAACAAACTTAGATAGAACGCGGGTGGCGCATGACGTAGTAGATCTCATCACTCGCGAGAAAAACATCGACATTCTGATCATAGGAGAACCAAATGTGAAGATCATGCAATCAAAAGGTTTCATCAGCGATATTAAGAATAATGTCGCAGTCTACATGAGAAATAAGAACATTGGCATAATAAACATCAAGAGATATATGGGATATATCAGGATAGCTACGGAGAGCTGGGACTTGTACTGTTGCTACTTTTCACCAAACGAACCCATAAACAGGTTCAAGGATTATGTAGATGAGTTGATGAGCACAATTAGGCATGAGGGGAAAGAAGCTATCATTGCAGGGGATCTAAATAGCAAATCTGCGTACTGAGGGTCGCCCGTAACAGATGCTAGAGGTACTCTACTAGAAGAATGGATAGCGGAACTGGACCTGGTCGTAATGAATACAGGCTTGACTCCTACATTTGAAAGGGGAACATCTTCATCATACATTGATATAACGTTGGCCACTTCAGGTGTAGCTAGGAAAATCAAGAAATGAGAGGTGTTGACAGGGGAATTCAAGCAGGAAGATATTATTCGACAGGGTGGAATTCGAAAAGCGACTGAGTGAAAGAATAGATGGGAGAGAACATCATACAATACAGTCAATCACAGAAGATATGGGGATAGCAGTTAAAGCTAGCCAAGTGAGACATCGACTGGTGGACGCTGGAAATAGATCAGAAAAGAACAGAATGTGTAAAACTTAGAAGGAAGAGCTTTCGAGTGAACAGATCTACTACAAGTGAACAGGAAAAGAACAGAATAACTGAACAATATAAAGCAATCAAGAAAGATCTGAAACTCATGATCATTAAAAGGAAGAGGATGGCATGGCAATTGCTGCGCCAAGACCTCGAAGATGACATATACGGTAATGGGTATAAAATTGTCATGAGAAATCTGGGAAAATTGGCGCAGCCATTTAACCTTGCAGATGCGAAGAAAATCGATATTTGTCGGCAGCTATTCCCGCACACAGATGATCGGTGGGATAGGAACAGAACTACGGTGGACGTAGGACAACTAATCACCAGGGAAGAAATCATAGCAGCATGTGATGAAATGAAGGTTGGAAAAGCTCCAGGCCCGGATGGAGTCCCGGTGGAAGCTATCAAAGCATTTGTAACAAATCATCCAGAGGCTGCATCAGAGTTGTTAAATGGTCTACTTCGCCAACAAGAATTTCCAGAACCGTGGAAGCAGGCAAGAGTAATTTTGTTATGGGAGGGGAAGGGAATGGAGAATCCATCTGATTTTCGGCCAATTTGTTTACTGAACGTCTTGGGTAAATTATTCGAAAGAATAATTAAGGAGAGACTGGAGAAGGAAATATAGGTGAAGGGTGGCTTTTCCCCCGAACAATATGGGTTCGTCAAAGGCAAATCGACAGTACATGCTGTTTAAGCAGTGATGGCAGTGGTGACAAATCCACGGGAGGCTTGGGTAGCTATGATAGCTTTAGACGTGAAGAATGCTTTTAACTCAGCTACGTGGAGTTTGGTGATACATAAACTTAGAGCTAGATAGAAAGTTATTTCCAAAATAGGGAAATATGGGTCACTAGGACCGAAAACATGGAGGTAACTGCCAGTGTTCCATAGGGCTCCATGCTGGGGCCTCTATTATGGAACATTATGTATGAAGACATTCTGAGGATAGAAATGGTAGAAGGAGCAAAGTGTATTGCGTTCGCAGATGACCTTGCCGTAATCGTGAGAGCGAATGACAAGAATGAACTCACAAATATCGCAAATGAAGCACTGAGAATAATCGGGAACTGGATGAAGGCAAACAAGCTTACACTTGCCCCTCAGAAATCGGAATGTATTATATTGAAAGGGAAGAGAAATAGAACGGATCTGCGATTCAGGCTAATGGGACAGGACATTCTTCCGAAGAAATCTGTCAAATATCAAGGTATCATGTTGGATGATAGGCAAAGTTTTGGAGAACATGTGAAGTATGCAATTACGAAAGCAGACAAGAGAATGGCGGCACTTGCCAGGATTATGCCAAATATAGGAGGCCCTAGTAGCACGAAGCGGCTTGTCCTGAATGGGGTGGTTAACTCCATACTGCTATATGGAGCACCAGCATAAGATTCTGTATTGAATATAAAAAAATATAAAAGTATGTTGAAGTCAACGCAGAGGAAGATGTTGATACGAGTGATCAGTGGATACCGCACCATCTCCGCTTTAGCCGTACAAGTTGTTGCTGGAGTGCCACCAATCTCATTACTCATTGAGGAGAGAAAGGAGTCATTCAACCAAGAAGCAATGCACACGGATACAGCGAAAAAAGGAATGAGAGAAAGAACTATGAGGAAATGGCAAACAATATGGATTGAAAATACAGAAAAGGCACAATGGACAAAAACTCTGATCCCAAATATTGCTAAGTGGGTGGAATGTCGTTTCAAAAAAACGGACTTCTATCTGACACAATTTATCACGGGTCATGGTCGTTTCAGAAGCTACACGCATAGGATGGGAATAACGCCGGATGATAAATGCAGATACTGCGGTATCACAGATACGCCAGAACACACAATATTATCATGTATGAGATGGGAGACGTACAGAATCGAAACAACAATCAGGGTAGGCAGAGAATTGCGTGCAGATAATATTATTAACATCATGTTGGAGAATAAGAAATCTTACAAGACGATACACGAGTTTATAAAGAAAATTATGAAGAAAAAACAGTTTGAAGAAAGGCAGAGGGAAGACGATGGAGATGACTGAGTCAATTACTAACAGCTGGCACGACTGACGTAAAACATAAACATGTGGATTCCAGAGTGCTGGTGGAAGTCTGAGGTGGTTTTAGTGGGTAGGCGACTGTGTGGCATAGTTGCACAGTCGAGTCCCACACTGCCTGAAGCATGAACCAGCTTAGGCGAGCATGGGCGTTCCACCTGCCAAAAAAAAAACAATGTTTACGTTAGTTATGGCAGAGTTAAAAACGGATATTCCTCATAATATTTCAACGAAATGTGTTTGTCACAGTTTTGCGTTGTGTTCATCAAGTGCATGTATGAATCTTATGATGGCAGTTGAGGACTCTGTTAGGAATATCTATAATTACATAGCTAATCAAGGCCTTGAAACAAATTGAGAATTCACAAAACTTTCCACCGCTCTCAAACCTGCTGGCTGTCGTTAGTGACAGTTGTCTCTTTTTTATTGATGCTGTTAGAAATGATGAATTGCAGGCAGCAGAAAATATTTCAAAAGTTCTTCTAGATCCTTTAACGTTGACTTTTCTCTTATTTTTGCAGCATATTCTACCACTTTTTGATTATTTGAATAAGGAAATGCAGTCGACCAAACCCAAATTGTAAAATTTTTATAACCGCATGTGTGAAATTTACCGAACACTTTTGGATTATTTTATCAAACAAATGTACTAGACA